GTTGGTAGAATTCTTCAATTTCATTATCACTGGCTTTAGTGGTTTGTGGGTAAGTGTGAATAATAGTGTATTAATTGCTCTTCCTTGTTGGCGTATGGATATTATCCTGTCATGGGCAGCATTATACTTCTAGATCTTTCTTGAAATGGTCTTTTTGATGATGAATGCAATGCCATTCCTTTTCAATTTGTCATTCCTGGCATAGTAAACCATATGGTTTTCAGCTTTAAAATGGCTAATGCCAGTCCATTTCAGCTCAGTAATACCTAGGATATTGATTTTTATGCATTCCATTTTATTTTTGACAACTTCTCATTTTCCTTGATTCATAGTTCATCCATTCTATGTTCTGATAATTAATGGATCTTCACAGCTGTTTCTCCTCATTTTGAGTTGTGCCCTATCAGCAAATGAAGGTCTCATGAGCTTTATTCCATTCACATCATCACAATCAACTCTACTTTGAGAAGAGTGTTTTAAGTGCCTTCCAACCTATGGGGTTTAACTCTTGGCACTGTATCTGACAATATTTTGGTGCTATTTATAATATTCCAAGGTTCAAAATTCTGGTGCTATCTGGTAAGTGATCCACTGCTGTTCATAAGGTTTTCTGTGGCTAAATATTCAGAAGTATTCTACCTCTCCTTCTTTCTGGTTTTAGTCTGGAAGCTCAGCTGAAACCTCTCCACCCTGGCCAGCCCTGCTGATATATATAATACCAGTGGCATAACTTCTAGCTTCACAGGAACACACAAGCCAAGATAGTACAACAAACTGATAGACAGGTGATGGCCCTTTGATGATAAGGACTACTATTTCTATCACACAAACTCAGACTCTGAGCCATGAGAAGTTTACATGGTTTGTGTAAGATCACACAGCAATCTGAGAGTCACTATAAATACATCTCCAGAAATACATTTATTGTGGACTATTTAAATCTTGCCTGTTTAGCAACAAGTTTGCATGCTTCAATAAGACAGATATAAATGAGAACAATTAGAAATTGTTCTAATTGAGGCACCCACCTGTTTAACATGTTAGCCTTTACCGTTTTATAGCTATAAAGAACAAGCTTTAGAATTTATCAATGAATTTTATTGGTCCTCATCTCCTCTCTCTCTAAAACCATCCCTCAATCTCCCCTGAAAAGTATAACATGTATCCAGTACTGTAAGCATCACTTTTAGTGTGCTGCCTAAATTTTTAAAAACTTACAATGTTTAAAGCATTTACTTGGCTGTCTTTCATGCTCATATGTTTTCTCATTTTTGTTTTCTCCTTCCTCTTTAAAACTCCTTTTACCCACCCATCCCAATCACAGGAGTCCTGGAGAAGCAACGAGCCAGACGCCTCATTCACAACTACAATCTCATTTACAACCTGTCTCTGAGCCCTCTGAAAATTGACCAGGCCTTGCGAAGATTTCGTTCTGGAGAAAATATGCTCTTGGAGCCAGCACTGCGGTACTTGAAGGAGCTATGATAACAAGCCCATATTGCATGAACAGATGTTTCCCTTATCTCCCTTTTTACTTGTACACATGTTTCTCAGGCCGGAGTATAATGGTGGAGGCATTGTTAGAGTAGACACTTTTGACTGGGACTTGGTTTCTGACTGAGACTGGCTCAGCAGCAGTTCAGAGTGATCAAACGAAACTAGGTTTTCTCTTCAAATGTGCAAGAGCTCAATCATACTTAAAACTACTCCTATTTTAATAAGACTTACCATTATCATAATAGAAGTCATGGTGTGGCACTTAGGTAATACACTGGACTGCAAAGTCAGTTTGAACCACAAGGTCGGCAGTTCAAACTCACCAGCCGTGCCTTGGAAACCCTATACAGGGTCACTGTGGATCAGAACCAACTCAATGACATTCAACAACATTATTATATTATTAATGCATATTTTTTCTGTATTGCTGATCAAACTGTGTTTCTGCAAACCACACAATTCCACATAGTAAAAACCATGCTTCTTGTTGTTGTTGTTGTTGTTAGATGCCATCAAGCCAGTACCGACTCATAGTGATCCTATGCACAGCAGAATGAAACACTGTCCAATCCTGGGCCAACCTCACTATTGTTGCCACACTTGAGTCCATCGATGCTGCCACCTGGCCAATCCATTTCGTTGGGGATCTTCCTATTTTTCCATACTAGATGTTATAAATTCCCAAAGTATCGGATACATTATTGTTGTTGTTAAGTACCATCGAGTCAGTTCTGACTCATAGTGATTCTGTATAGGGTTTCCAAGGAACATTTGGTGGGCTTGAACTACTGACCTTGTGGTTCACAGTCCTAGTACTGATTCTACAGTGCTACATCAGGAGTCCATGCCTGGCACATAGTAGGCCTAAATACATTGTTTTGACCTGAGTAAATTTGTTCTGCCTCTAGTTACCATTTTTAGAGGGATTTCCCATTATAAGGACAATAAATGTATTAGCAATATAGCGTAGTGGTTACGAATCGGGCTGCGAACAGCAAGGTCAGCAGTTCGAAACTACCAGCTGCTCCGCGGGAGAAAGATGAGGCGTTCTGCTCCCGTAAAGATTTATAGCCTCGGAAACCCTGTACAGGGTCGCTAAGAGTCGGAACCGACTCCACGGCACTTAACAACAACTTAACAACATGTTAGTGCTGGGAGTTCTGGTGTGGCGCTGTGGGTTAGTGCGCTGAACTGCAAAATTGATTTGAACTGAAAGTTTTGCAGTCCAAGCTCACCACCTGCTCCTTGGAAACGCTAAACAGGGTTGTTAGGGGTCAGAACCAATTCAGTGGCACATAACAACAATAATAGCAACAACATTAATGTTAAGCAGTAAAAACAGAATTCCAAATGAAGCTTTCTGAACAAGTCCAGTATTTTCTCCAGTACAAAACTAGAATGTGTTACACTGTTTCCAGGGATATTTTCTAAGACTATTGGATAGAAGTTCTGAAAGATTCTTTTCTCCTTTGGGGCAGGAAAATCAGGTGCAAGTTTCTTCCAGATCCCATGTTTCTTCTGTCCTTAACACCCTTTCCAACTTTGCACCTCCCACACAATGCACACTGAAGCACATATGGCACCACACAGGTAGTGTGAGCTTATTGAAGGGACATTGGCCTGGAGCTTGAGAGGCAAGGTGTTCCCAGCATCATAACTAACACTAGATGACCTACTTACTGATTTTCAGGCTCGTGTGGGAGTCAGGCCAAGGGAAAAATCAAACAGAAAGAATAGTCACTTTATATAGTGAGGTGCCTCGTGAAATCATATTCAGCATAGCCTTAGGAACAAAATAGTTTGAATCCACTTTAGTAGATTATCTCTGGAGTTCTGGTGTGACACTGTGGGTGAATGCACTGGACTGCAAAGTTGGTTTGAACCAGAAGGTCGGCAATTCAATCTCACCAACTGCTCCATGGAAACCCTATATAGGATCACTATGGGTCAGAACCAACTCAATGGCACTTAACAACAACAAGGGAACTTCTAGACATGCTGGTAGCACAATAATTAAGCACTCAGCTATTAACTCACCCAGTGACACCACAGGAGAATGACCTTACAATCTGTAAAGATTGTTGTTGCTGTTAAGTGTCATCAAGTCGGTTCCGACCCATAGCAACCCTGTTTAGGGTTTCCCAGGAGCGCCTGGTAAGCTTGAACCACTGACCATGCAGATCAAACTGACTTTGCAGTACAGCGCATTAATCCACAATGCCATACCGGGACTTGTTATTGTTAAGTGCTGTTGCGTCAGTTCCAACCCATAGCAACCTTGTATAGGGTTTCTGAGGAGTGCCTGGTGAATTTGAACCACTGACCTTGTGGTTCAAACCAACTTTACAGTCCAGCATGTTAACCAACAGCACCACACCAGGACTCAGAGCCTAGAAAATCCTATGAGGTCATTCTACTCTGTCACATGGGTTGTGATAAATTAAAAATCAACTTGGCAGCACCTAACAAGAACCTCTGATTCTGACATGCCTATGTGTCTAATCCTTGAGTTTTCTGGGGAACTAATGCCTCTTGAAGCAGATTGACTACCTCCCCATCTTCCTAGAACCTTAAACTTTTTAAACACCAGAGTAGTAAGACATGAAAAGTCAGAAATGGCTTTCTCATGCCACCAAAGCACTAAGTGAGGAAAATTGAAATATTGAATAACAAATGTAATACATAAATGGCACCAACTGTGTGGCTGGGAACTCGACATCTTTGCTTCATCCAACCATGACAGCTCTATAAGGCGGGTTTTACAAGTCCATCTCAAAGATGAGGAAACTGAGACCCAAGAAGCGAAGTGTTAGAAAGCTATTGAGTTGTGCCAATTAATAATTGGCAGAAGGAACAGTGTCTCATAAAGCACTGGTCAACTGAGTACCTAGAAGGCTCTGGAGACCTAGAGCGGCTTGCAGAGGAAGTTCATGGAACAGGAGGCCCTAGACTTGAAGATGGGGTTATTGTAAAAATCATGAGGACAACTGTTTTACTTTGTCAATTTCTTTATGTCAATACAGTTCTTGATAGGTAGCTTCAGCACTCCCAAAATAGTGGAGGGGACGTCATTTACCTAGAAGACAGCATGGAAGTTTTTCCTGGCACTATGTGGCTAGGTCACGTTTGACCTATACTCAGGTACTATTGGTTGAATATCATCACTACAATGGGTGTAACTATGGCCCACACACACACCATTACTTCCACAGAAAGTAGAAAAAAATAAATAAATAAGCTTGAAAAACAGCCAAATCGAGCTTTGACACTTAGTAAACTATAGCCTTGAGAAGTTCCCAAAATTTCTTGTACTTCAATGTCTTCATCTATAAAATGGGAGGAACTAGATGTGTCTCAAAGGAAAGTTATAAATATTTAAAGCAGTTCCATTTGCATGTATTCAAAATGTTTTTTTCTGTGTCCTTTCCCCTAGCTGTTGAGTATTCAGGAAGCTTTAAAAAAAAAAAAAAAAACTCTGGACAAAGGTCTTATGAAATGGCATAAGGGAGGTCAGGCTGCTACTGTAGCAAAAACAAGTTTTAAGATGTCTCTGCTTTCTAGAGATAAACGGCAATTGCCTTTGGACCATCACCCGTCTGGAATTCTCCACTGCTTTCCCCCAAGATGGGTTTGTGTGTGTGTGTGTTCATTTGTAAGACCAGTACATTGCTAAAGTGAGTACTCAGTGGTTTTTCTCTGAATAAGTACGAAAACACTATTTAACTTCAGATGTAAAGACAAGCTTACTTACCAGTGTGACAATGTGGCAGGAGAGGTTGTGTGAAGTCTGGCTGTGAGGAAAACCACTGGACAGACACAGGAAAGTGCTATGAAGCCATTACTACCTATGCTTCAGGTGATCATTACAAACCTCCGTGTTGTGACTTTTCCTTCTCTCTCTTTTCTCTCATGCAAGTGGTGCCCCAGGACTCGTCATTGTGAACTAATAAACATTGGGTCAAGAAACCATGGTGCCTGTGAACTTAAAGAGTTTTCTTCAACAAAACTTTTTTTTAAATGAGTATCTACCTGCCTGCTGTGGACTGGTCAACCTCCAGTATGCTCTAGAGGGGTTTGGTGTGAACTGTGGTTGCCCCAACTTTCCAAAAGTCTCAGCAAAACCAATGAAGGCATAACCAATACTGGGTTTTATCAATTGGACAAGTTCCTTCCTTCCCAGCTGTGTAATCCTGAACAATTCAGTAAACCTTTCTGCCTTATGAGGTCAGTCATATAAAATGAGATCGTGTGTGCATGTTGCCCGACACTGTAGGATAAAAACACTGGACGTCTAACCTTAAAATCAGAAATTCAAGCTCACCAGCAGTCCCCTGGGAGAAAGATGAGACTTTCTGCTCCCACAAAGATTTACCATTTCAGAAATCCTATACAGGGTCATTAAGAGTTAGAACCAACAATGGCATCTAACAGCAATAACAATGCATGGCACTAGCCAAGCTCTGTAGGCAAACTAGTCTGTTATTTGACTCGTCAACAGCATTTCACTTTACCCTATCCAGTGAGCTAAATCTCTAAGTTCCTTTACAGATACCTTTGAAGCCAACAGGTGGCTTCCTATGAGATCCTAGAAGACAGAAGACAAGTCTTTCATATTCCTGTTCCTCCTTCTCTCTCAAGTATTTACTCCTTGCATTGCTTCCCCATTGTACAAATGAGAAAGTAAAATTTGGGGTGGTAAATGTTCTTGCTTAGTGACTTACAAGGATCTCTGATAGCATAGTGGTTACAAATTGGGCTGCTTACATCAAGGTCAGCAGTTTGAAACTACCAAATGTTCCGTAAGAGAAAGATGAGGATTTCTGCTCCTGTAAAGATTTACAGCCTCAGAAACCCCATGCAGGGTTGCTATGAGTCAGAACCAACTCTACAGCATGTAGCCACGGCCACCACCACTAATGACTTCCAGCTAATGAATGCCTGAGCCAGGATTTGAACCCACTACATTGACTAGGTAGGTCACAGTAACA